TCTGTGTCACCCTGAGTAGAGTGTAGTGGTATCATCACAGCTCACTGCAACCTCAAATTCCAGGGTTCAAGCGATCCTCTTGCCTTGCCCTCCTGAATAGCTGGGAATACAGGTATGTGCTATGATGCCTGGCTAATTTTTCTATTTTTAAGTAGAGACCAGGATCTTGCTCTTGCTCAGGCTGGTCTCGAACTCCTGAGCTCAAGCAGTCTTCCCGCCTCAGCTTCCCAGAGTGTTAGTATTACAGGCATGAGCCACTGCACCTGGCCCAGGCAGCTTTCCTGAGCCTTTTCGGGGCCAGCTTGCAATGAATCCTAGGCTTCTGTTATCCCTTGAAGTCTATCTATGAGTAATAAAATTGCAGCATATAACTTGTGTGCATGGGTGTTTTGTCACACCAGACTCAGACAAGTTGATAACTAGTGTACAGTGAACCTGTTTCACAGGTATTTGTGTATTCACCTTAATAAGAAATTGTTGTACAGTCTTCCAAAGTGATTGTACCATTTTTACCTTCCTACTCACAATTGTATGAGAGTTCCAGTTATTCCACATCCTCATTACTGCTTTTTAAATTTTAGCTATTTAGCCATTGTGTATATTTTGTATTTTTAGTCTTTTAATGGTATCTTATAGTTTTAATTTCCATTTCCTTAGTAATTAGTGAGGTTGAGAGTCATCCTATATACTTATTGGTCTTTTGTATATTTTATTCTGTGAAGTGTTTGTTCAAGTCTTTTGCCCTATTAATTGGCTTGCCTTTTTATTACTTCTTGAAGTTCTTTAAATATTCTGTGTATTTGTCCTTCATCAGATCAGTGTATTTTGAATATTTTCTCCCAATCTGTGGCTTGCTCTCTCTTTTTTTTAAGAAACTGGATCTTGCTATGTTTCCCAGGCTACCCTTGAATTCATAGTATTAAGCAATCCTCCTGCCTCAGCCTCTTAAGTATGAATACCTGGGACTATAGGTGTGTGCCACCATGCCCTGCCCAGCATTGATGGAAGCTTTTGATGAGCATAAGGGTTTAATTTTGATGAAGTCTAGTGTATCATTTTTTTCCTTGGTTAGTGCTTTTTATGTCCTGTTTGAAAAAAATCCTTATCTATCCTGGATTGTAAAGATTTTCTGCTAGAATTTTTAGTTTTATTTCACTAATGACATTTAGGTTAATTTTTCTGTAGGATGCAAAGTAAGGGTCAAGCTTTGTTTTTACCTCATGTTTTTTAAGTTATTCCAACACCATTTTTTTTTTGCCTTTTTAAATTTTTATTTCAGCATATTATGGGGGTACACTCATTAGCTGTATATATACTCATCCCCTCCTCCCCCTCCCATCTGCCTGACACGCCCAATGAATGTTATTACCATATGTGTACTTAAGTGTTCATCAGTTAATACCAATGTGATGAGTACATGTAGTGCTTGTTTTTCCATTCTTGTGATACTTCACTTGGTAGAATGGGTTCCAGCTCTATCCAGGATAAGACAAGAGGTTGTAGATCACCATTGTTTTTTATGACTGAAAAGAACTCCATGGTATACATATACCACATTTTTTTTAATCCACTCATATATTGATGGGCACTTGGGTTGTTTCCACAGCTTTGCAATTGTGAATTGTGCTGCTATAAACATTCTACTGCAGATGTCTTTTTTATAGAATGTCTTTTATTCTTTTGTGTAGATCCCCAGTAATGGGATTGCTGGATCAAATGGTAGATCTACTTGTATCTCTTTAAGGTATCTCCATATTGCTTTCCACAGAGGTTGCACTAGTTTGCAGTCCCACCAGCAGTGTATGAGTGTTCCTATCTCTCCGCAATCACACCAACATTTATTGTCTTGGGGCTTTTTGATAAAGGCCATTCTCACTGTAAATAAGAGATATCTCATCATGGTTTTGATTTGCATTTCCCTGATGATTAGAGATGTTAAGCATTTTTTCATATGTTTGTTGGCCATTAGTCTATCTTCTTTTGAAGTTTCTGTTCATGTCTTTTGCCCACTTTTTGATAGGGTTGTTTCATTTTTTTTTTGCTTATTTTGGTGAATTCCATATAGATTCTAGTTATCAGCCCTATATACGATGTGTAGCATGCAAATATTTTCTCCCATTCTGTAGGCTGTTTGCTCTCATGATAGTTTCCTTGGCTGTGCAGAAACTTTTTAGTTTGGTCACATCCCATTTATTTTTTGTTGTTGTTGCTGTGATTGCCTTTGGGTCTTCTTCATAAGTTCTTTGCCTAGGCCAATGTCTATAAGAGTTTTTTCAACATTTTCTTCTAGAATTCTTACAGTTTCATACCTTAGGTTTAGGTCTGTTGATTTTTGTGAGAGTGAAAAAGTACATATTCTGTTTCAATCTTCCACATATGGCTATCCAGTTTTCCCATATATCATGCTCACAAGTTGGCAGAATCAACATTGTTAAAATGTGTATACTACCCAAAGTAATATACAGATTCAATGCAATCCCTATTAAAATACCAATATCATTATTCATATTCCAACACCATTTGTAGAAAGAGTATCCTTTCCCGTTTTAAATGCATGGACATCATTGTCAAAAATCAATTGGCTGCATATATGTGAGTCTCTTTCTTGTTTTCCTATTCTGTTCCATTGATATAATTGTCTAAATTTATGCTGATGTCACACTTTCTTTATTACTGAAGTTTAATAATAAGTCTCGAAGTCAGGCAGTATTAAGTCCTACAACTTTGTTCTTTTTCAAAGTTGTTTTGGCTATTTGATGTCCTTTGCATTTCCATAAAAAATGTGAATCAGCTTGTCAATTCTTAGCCCTACACATAAGCCTTCTGGGATGTTTAACTGGGATTGCACTGAGTCAATTAGGGGAAATTTTAATAATATTGATTCTAATCTAATCATTATAGAGGTTTTGTACATTTTGGTTAAATTTAGTCCTGCTTATTTCATGTTTTTGATGCTTTTATAAATGGCTTTGAGTTTTAAATTTTATTTTCAAAATTTTTATTTATAATATATTGAAATATAATTGATTTATTTTTATATAGTGACCTTGTATCCCATAATTTTGTTAAATTCATTTTTAGTTCCAAAAAATTTGTTGTATATTCCTTTGGATTTGTACAAACTATAATCATTTCAAATGTAATAATGCATTTGTAAATATTTTTAATTTTTTCTTTGTAATATTTGTCTTTAACTTCTAATTATTCTCTTCATTGCACTGGTTATAAATTCTAATACAATGTTGAATGAAAGTAGTGAGTGTGGACATTCTTGCCTTGTTTTTGACCTTAGGTGGAATACAGCTTATAATTTCCACTAACTAGAGGAATAATACATTAGTTAGGAATTGCACTTGGCTGCATATAATAGAAACATTTATTTTTTAAAAAGTGATACACACAAATTAGGAAGTTTTTCTCATGTATCCAGAAGTCTGTAGGTAGGTAGTCCAGATATGATATATTACTCTAGTTTGCTCTTTGAAACCTAGGCTCCTTTGTCTTCCTACTTAGCTATCCCTGGGTTGTCTCCTCATTGTCACAACATAGCTAGTGTTCTACTTCAAGTATCATTTCTGTAATTCATGAAAAAATAGGGGAAAGGGCAAAGGACAAAAGGTATATGGCAGATGAGTCTTTCATCTTTACAGCAGCTTTCTTAAAATCCTGACTAATACTGTATACTTAAATCCTATTGACTTGAGCTGTTTAATACCTATTTATATCTGTAAAGGAAAAATGTAGTTTTTGAGGACAGCCTCTAAAAATTCAATTTCTGTTATTAAAGAAGAAGAGAAAGCATAAGTTGGGTAGACAGCTAGGTATTTCTACAAGCAATAAAGCTTCATCTTCCACAAGGCTGCTCATCTCTAAGTTAAGAATGTTAGAGAAGCAGGCTTGGTAGAGAAGTTCATAGATGATGTATTGGTTTCAAGCTCTGAAATATTACAATTTAAAATCTGAAAATTCTAGGAGTGGACAAAAGAAAGTATTGGATTTTTCACCAGGAGTATGTATGTGGAACCCTCTGCAGATGCTGACTGATTTTCCCTGTTCCGTTCTGACTTGGCAGGTTACAGCAACCTAATTGGAACTGCCCCTCCATCCTATCTTATTGGTCCCAGAAAAACCACTGGCCTGCTGGATCCTGTTTCCCAATTCTGAGGACATAGGGCCACACAGTTTGTTGAAATGACTCTTGGAGCTCAAGGGCAAAGATGCTGAGGCTGGACGGCTTGGGAAGGGAAATTTAAGATTTCCAGAAAAGTTGTGAAGATAGTACAGAGTTGCTATATATGCCACACCCAGCTTCCCTTTTTATTAACATCTTCCTCTAAAGAGAATAAATCCCTTATGGCAGGGATTTTGTGCAAAGTAGTTCAGAGGCCCTTAGGCATACTATGGACTGTGACAAAAGGTGCAGAATCTCTGATTTGTACAGACTGGATTTGTCACAAATTTACCGAGTCAAGAATTCCAGGTAAAGTGCTTCAGCCTTCACCTGAGGATCATGAAAAGTATGGTAGGGATCCAGAGAACCCTCATAAACTGCATATTGTTACCAGAATAAAAAGTACAAAAAGACATCCATAATGGGAAAAAGATATAATAAAGATGCTTGGATTACAAAAAGCACATACCCCTCAAGTTCACAAGACCATCCCTTCAGTGAATACAAAACCGAGAGTGGTTAAACATTTGATAAGAATCAAGCCCCTGAAGTTGCCACAGGAACTTCCAATAGAGGAAGACATGTCTAACATGTGCCTCAAGAGCACTGGGGAATTATTAGTGCAGTGGCATCTGAAACATGTTGAGCAAAAAACAATTAAGTCCTAATGCCAGAGTAGCTTCAGATTTTAAAATGCAAGTTATTTTTATTTAAAATGATGAGAATGTTTTCATTAAAATATATTTAAAATACAAAAACAAAAAAAAAGAAAGAAAGAAAATCTAGACCAGGAATCTTTGACGCTTACAAAATAAAATGAAGACATTTTGACAAGTTGTTTAACAGCATTAAGAAGATGTCATTTATTTGTAAATGAAAGCAGAGTCTGTTGCCTGAATTCAAGACTACTTCATTCCATTACTTTCTGCATTATTACAACAGGAAAAACATCTGGTTAAATAAGGTAATCTTAATGATGTCTTAACAGATATGGATCTCCTGTTCAACTGAAATAGGTCATTATTTTCTACTAATTTCAATAATGGACAGCAGATTCCTAGGCAAAAGTTATCATACATTACACGGAATTCAAAATGTGCAAATAACATGTCCCAGTCTCAGGCTGGCTGAGGTTTAGGGAAGTGGGAAGAGAAGTAATGACTTTGATGACAGAATCAGGGATATCTGAGGTAATGGTGATTCAAGGCAGAAAGTAGAACCCATTTTCACCATGGCTCCTATACTAAGTGACTCTGAGAAACATTTTAACTTTATAAATGAAATCATCTACAAACCTTCTATTTTCTTGTTAATAATGTACAATTTACCACCAATATTATATTTTCAGTGACCTCTATGAAACAATTTGTTGCTGAAATGTGTTCATGGGGTCTCAAAAAAGACTGATAATTATTATTTGTTTCCCTTAAAAGGTAAAGAGAAAAAATGATTGATATGGTTATCTACTATACTCCTATACATAAGGCTTCTCTATTAGCCATAGGTCTGATTCTGGTTGTTTCCATTCTTCTCCAAGCAGTGTGTTAAAATTGAAAGGTTTGAAGTATTCGAGGCGATGGCTAAAAGCAAAGAAAAAGAAGGTGGGAACTGAAATGAATTATGCATTTGTGAAATAGCTGTCTTAACGGGCTATTTATTTTGTCACATCTGTGATAGGACAACATTCTATTTTAAGGAATACCAAAGGTAAGATGTATTCTATATGTACAATTTTCTCACTCTAGCTATCAAACACTCAGCTCTGAAAACATTCACCCACATATCAAAGCATTCTCCTTTCAATTCAGCAAACAGTTCCCTCACAGCTGAAGGGAGAAATAAAACTTAACCCTCAAAACCTGACTTATTCCATCTGGCTTTAAACAAACCCTATTATACTCTTGCATATGTTTTTCTATTCAAACTTTGATATCATTTATATCAATCTTATAAGCAATTGTTTTTAAAAGTTTCAGCTCTATAGATTAGAGGATAGACTTATTTCCCTTCTTTGCCAAAACAAGAGAGGTTAATGTAAAAGAGTCTTAATCCTAGTTCTTTTCTTTCCAGAAAAACCATTTACTATTATGAAGCTTTCTCTTGTGGGTTAATGAAGAGAGAAAGTCTTAGCTAACATGCTGCAGTGGAATTCCACTCTATAGGAAATCACTGCCCTGGAGCTGTCCTTACCAATGTATAATCATACTTCCACCTAGGGTCTGTCTCCAATAATGAATGAATGAGGAGTCTGAATATAGGAAGGTATTTGCTGATGAAGAGCCTGAGAGAGACATGCCATCTTGGTATGAGGGCCCTGAGTCAGTTACAACTAGACATTTATCTCATTCTACCTCCCTGGCCAGGATGAACCAGAGTTTGTTATGTCACAACTGTCAATCCCAGAGAAAGAGGTTAAAGAAACAACCATGAAGGGTAAGAGAAAGGAAGAGAGAAGGAGTATAGGTAGAAAGGGTCAGGACTGGGGTGAAAGGCAAAAAGAAAAGGGAAAAGTATGTCAGGCAAAATAAATATGCTAGAAGAGATGAAGGCCAAGTAGAGTGAAGTAAGAGCATGATAGGAAGAAGGCAAACTGGGAAAGGAGAACTGTGTAGCACAGTCCAAAGGCAGGAATGTCAGTCTACGTGGTGCAATGCACACCAAGATGTGTCTGTTAGGCTCTTATAAACACTCAGGCTCACCAGACTATCTCAGGTAGGCTGAATAAACTTAGAGAGATTTAGAGCAGGAATCATAGCTTGCTCCAGGACAGCATCTGGCTTTCCTCCCTAATGGAGTAGTCCTTGCAGCAGTCTACAGCACTCCTGAGGCTGGCCAGGAGCTCTATTCTCCCTAGGTGGCAGCTTCAAGTGCAAAGAAACAAGACTCAGATTGGGAAAGTGTAGGAGAAACCTTGGCTTAAACACCTGCTGCCCCACAAAAGCCAATATCCCTTGTAATAATTCCATAGGCATAGCTTCCAGGGTCCCCATAGGGAACATGTTTATATAGGGGAATCCCAAAGCCATGCTGTCTCCATCATATATTTATACTTCACTCAAAATTACTCTCAGTCCAGATGTAAACCAATGAGGAATCATTTTTATCATAAGCAATGTTGCCTACAAGCATAGTTAACATTTTTTTCTTATGAGGTTACTAGAAGAGAACTAAAGAGATAACTGAAGATCAGATTTTCTTGCAGCAGGGAAAAGGATTTATTTATTAACCCTTTGTTCACACCAGAAAACCACTGATGCCTCTGACTATTTAGCTCTGAAAGGGATTATAAATGAATTTGCAACCATACTTCTGCAGTAGCTGTTTTAACACTCACTAAATAAGACTTTTCTCATACCACTAAAGAAAAATAAGTGCTCTACTGGCAGTAGTGAGAGAGATTATCTCAGACCAAAGTTAATCTATCAAGTATTTTCTGAGGACCATTAGGGAACATAGGACTCTGCTATACCTCATCTTCTTTGACCAAAAGATATTACTAGTTCTCTACCAAGAATTAACTTCCAAAAAACTTTTATAGTTGGAACATCTCTTCATTCATTTTCTACTTACAAATCAGGTTTTTGTCCTTGTTGCAGTTCATGCTGAGGTACAGGGTAAAGAGCTTCATAACTTCGTTTATCTTTTGATCCATGAATTGCAAATGAATTGAATTTGGTCACATTGGGTGGAAAATAACTCCAAGGAAGATAAGCTTTGCCTTCCCATTTTGTCTCTCCTCTGGACACTCTGAATGATAAGGCAAGTTCTTGCTAGAGAAACATGTGAAACACAAAAGGTAAAATCAGACTTATACTTTAAACATATAAATATATGTATCACATGTATACTTGAGGATTTTGTCTCATATTTTTATATACTTACTTTCCATACGTTTCTTCTTCCAGAGAGTAAAAGCACTAAATGCTGTCCATGGCTGTCAAAATTAAGATTCCTCATGAGTGTTTGAAAGAAACAAATGTTATTTTCTTTACTATTCTTCATATCTGGAATATATGTGCTTTTAAATAAATTTTGAAATAATCAAAAGATATAACACTAATATTTGATCATTATCAAATCATAATTTGATATGAAGAGCCAATGTGTTCAGTTACTTAGAAACAACATCTTTGAGTTTACCATTTTGCGGATAATCTCCATCAAAAGCATAAAGCTTCAGGTGCTTAGATTGCTTTTTATATTCTTTAAATAAGAAATTATATAAAATGCTTCATTCGGTTAGATGACACAAAGTATGAGAAAGGGTCAGGGGGGTATCATATTATTTGGAGTTTATAATAAAACCAATTTCAAAAATGAAAGTACTTGAAAGAAAGCTAGCACGAATTTATAAGTCTGAATTCAACAACTTTACTAACAATCTTTTCTGTAAAAAACAAAAACAAACAAACAAAAACTATCTTAAAGCTCATTAGGAAGATAGAAAATGCAAAACACAGACTGTCTAAAACTAGTCAACAGGCTAAAGGTTTTGATGTGTATCAAAACCTTTTTTCTCACACAGCCATCCTCAACTTGTCTGCCTCTTGTGTTTTCCTGCTTTGTACCATTAGTTCAGGCACCAGTGTCACATTTTCAAAAAGAAATACAAAATATTCTCGCAAGGAAACTCTAATAATAGTGCATAATTGGGATTAGCCAGGTCAGTAAGAACCAAAGGATCTCATGTGTTTACATGAAGCAAATTTACTGGCTCCAGAAAAGATTATAACTTAAACATTTCTACATAGATATTCTAGTAGAAGACAAGTATTATTTTCCATTTAAAAGTCTTCTGATTATTTTGTTATTATTCAGCCTTAGGAATATATCCTAAGAAGGAGTAAAAATTTTTGCAAATTAAAACAACAATTTCTTTATGTTACTTTCCTAGCGGTTAATTCCTGCTATAGGAATTGATTGCCTGAAGCAAAACCATGATTCTGGATTATTAACTATCCTGATGTATATCTGAGGATTGAGGATTGTTCTTTTAACTTTTAAAATCTATTAATTTTAGATTGGTTACTGTGTAATTTTTAACAAAAGAGAATCTAATTATTTTATTGTTCCAGTGTTATGGCATTACTTTATGAAAATAAATGGATATTAGCACCTAATAAAATTAAAACTAAGGGTCAAACTTTAGAATTCTAGTAGATCCAAGTTCTTTACTGTCCTCTAGAGAAGTTATAAATGTTTGCCTTAGCTTTCTCACCTGCAAGGTGAAAACAATTATATAATAGTTGAAATTTTCTTATCTCTCATGACAATTAATGAGAATTAATCATTTTTTCAATAAAAAATTTTGTCACATTAGTTAAAATGTGACACACAAAGATATATGATTATTCTTCTTTAAAAAGTAATGCAAACAGCCAGATTTTCCACATTAGACTTACCAAAATATCAAAATAAGGGAAAATAATATCTCAAAATCTTAGTTAGATCAATTGTTTGGAGCTCTCCGACCAGCCTACTAAGGAACTAAGGCTACTGAATCTTAGATACTGAGAGGCACTAAAATGGCATGTAAAATGAATAACAGCAATATAAAGAAAGATTTCATTATTAAACATTTTACTAATTTAAAATTTGGTATAATTTAGAGGACAGGTTTGCCAACCAGGTAAAGAAGGTTCCCAAGAGACAGTTAAACCTGAACAAAGAGAGTCTAAAGTTAATATTTTTAATGAGTCTAAGAAAATCCATGTATGATTTAGTTTTTATCCCTGACACTGAATACAAAAGTGACACAGTCTATACTCAATAAATGCATGATGAAAAAAGGAAGGAATAGATGAATACATAATTATGTAATACACAAAAGTCTAATTTAGTCATTAAAAATTTTTTTCTACAAGAAACATTTTCATATGCTAGCTCAATTCATTATATTTAAATGTCTCCCTTTATTTCCGAACAGCTAATATATAATAATGCAAATTTATATAGGAAATAATGAAGAAAAGAATTCTTATTTTATGATTTTCCGTTTTGCAAAAAAAATCTTCAAATTTATTAGAAAAACAACATTAGTGAATTCAAAATAATACTGACATATTTTCAAACATTAATAGAATATATGAATATATTCTAAACATAATCTAAATATATGCACTATACTTGAAAATGAGGAATTATATAAAAGTACATAATTCAAATCAACATTCTTCCTAGTTAGCTGGAATTAATGAGCTTTTACTATGACCATATGGTTTATAACTAGAAAATAATGTGTTTGATTTATGTAGTAATGATTAAAAAAATATTTTATACTTACGGACAAAGTTCAACTTCTAAATACTGCTCAGTTATATCATTCAAGAAAAATGCTTCCACAACTTTTGAAAACAGAGATATGACATACTGAGAAATTTAATTTGCTTCCCAACAATAAAATAATTTTTTATTTCTTTACAATATACAATGAATTAACTATTTTTAGTTATAATACTATCCCTAGTAGGAAAATGGGCAAAGATAATGGACATTGCCTGGAGGAAGAAATATATAGGAAATAAATCATTATCAATTTTCTCCCATATCAATTGCCATTGAAAAAGATTAATTAACCTTACTGCCAGTGAGGTTGTAAAGAAATCAACATTGTCACACAGATTTTGGAAAAGTTCCCTATCCTAAGAAAATAATCAGACAACTTGAAAAAAGAAATAAGTATAATGTTATTCATCAAAGCATTGCTGAAAAACTGAAAATGATCTAAATGATGATCTTTTACTATATAGGATTATCTCTTATTCTATAAATAAATATCCTGTTATATAAGAGAACTATTAAATTATGGAAATTATGTATTCCAAGCAATGGAATACAATGCAGCCATTAAAATCAAAGATATATCTGATATCATGATAGTAAAAGAAAAAGAAAAATAAAGAAAAAAAAAATCAAAGATACAGTTAAGTATCTGTTGACATAGGAAGACACCCATGATATTTGATAAGTAACCTGCAGAGCAGAAACCAAATGTACATGAAATTAAAATATGCATGTGTGCTTGTGCCTAGATGTCTACAAAATGTACATAAAAATGTTAAGACTACTTATCTGTGATTGGTGGAATACAGATATGTGATCTTTTCTTCTTTATAATTTCCAGGAACTTTCTGAGCATATGCTATTTTAAAAATTATTTAATTATGAAAGCAATACATCCTTCTTGTAAATAATTAAAACAACACAAATATATATAAAGTAAAAGGTCCAAGTCTTTTTCTTCTCCCTTTGGCCTAAAATATGTCCTAATTTTTCTGTGCTTCTACAAACTGTTTTACCTGCTCAGATTTTTAAAAAATAAATATGGAGCCATACATTCCTACAATTTGCTTTTTTTCACATAAAAACTCTCCTTCATATAAATAACAATCTTTTTAATTACTATATAGTATTCTTTTATAAAATGTCATAACTTATTCATCTAATTCTTCATTAATCAACAGTTTGTTTCCAATTTTTCAAGCGTTATTTTTATAATAAGATAGCCAAGATATATATATAGTTCTGTCATCAATTCATAGAATCTCATTGTCCCTTTCTAAATCTTTTACCTAGACAAATTAGAGTGTCTACTGTAATGGTTAATTGTATGTGTCAACTTGACTAAGCCAGGGTATTCAGATATTTGATCATGTATTATTCTAGTTATAATTTGTGAAGGAATTTTTTTAGATGAGATAAACAATTAAATCAGTAGACTTCTACTAAAGCAAATTACTCTCCATAATGTGACTGGGTCTCACCAATTAGTTAAAAGCTTTAACAGGAAACAAGACTGACCTCACCTAAGAGAGTTCTGCCAGCAAACGGCCTTCATGGTTGAAGCACAGTATCAACTATTCCCTGGGTCTGCTGGCCTATGTTATAAATTTTGGACTTGCCAACCTCCACAACTGTGTAAACTAATTCCTAAAAACCAATAAATCTCTCTCTCTCTCTTTCCATATATACATATATACAGGCACACATGTACCTTCTGATTTCTAATTTCTGTCATCACCTTACAAACATTTTTGTAGCTTCTCTGTATTAAACACTATATCAGATTCTGAGAGTACCCTGATTGGCTCACAATCTAATCAAATACTAAAGTGGAAAATTTTAATAAAAATTCCCAAATGGAAGTATGTATAGGCTGTTGTAGAAAAAAAAGAAAACAGATGCTTAGGTCAAAAAAGAAAATGCTTTAGGGAGAAACTCCTGGAGAAAGTCCTATCTAAGCTCCATCTTGAAAGATGAGTTGGAGCTAGGTAAAGATTGATGGAAACTTCATTATAAGCTGAGAGAACAGTATAATAGAAGGTACACAATCAGGAAATATTATGGCTTATTTAAAGAACTACAAGAAGTTCAGTCTTACTAGGCAAACTTTTCAATGTGGGAAGAACTGGTGATGCTGCAGAGAGAAGGGGCCAAGTCATAGGAAATCTTATATAGAGATCATATGAAGAAGGATAAAACTTACCTTGAGAGAACACAGAGCCTGAGAAGGTTTTCAAATAGATGAAGGATGAGTTTACATTTTCATTTTAAATAGATCATTTTAGATCACTCTGGCTAAGTGAAGAATGGGGCTTAAGGGCAAAAAGATTTTGGATTTATTTAGGAGGCTCTGCCCTAAGCCAGGTAAAAGATGATGAAGACCTAACCTTCAGCAAGGATGGTGGGGATGAATAAGAGGTACTGAGTTAGAGAAACATTTAGGAGGTGAAACTGATAGCACTTAGTAAATAAATCCAAATATAGGGAGTGAGAGAAAAGGACATCTTGGTAAGACCTTATAATTTCTAGATTTGGTGATTTGATGTATTGTTAGTATCATTTATTGAGATTGGGCAATTAGTTTATGAGAGAAGAAGATGAGTTGAGTTTGGGATTTGTTGAGTCTGGTGCCTGTAGTACCTCTAGTAGATAAGTCACATTGGTGTGTATACTATTAGGAAGATGATATATATAAGTCCTGTATCAATAAAAGATAACATGTGACAACTTTAACACTGACAAATGTGTGCTATACAAATAGTATAAAGAAAATAGACATTAGTGTTCATCAAAGTCTTCTTTGAAGAATAGGGACATGGATTACATCTTGAACTATGTGTGTTAGAGGTAGGAGGCATAGAATGAGAAAGTACATGGGTAAAGAGCTTTTGGTTGAATATAGTGGCCCAATTCATGAGTACCCTGAAAGCTTATAGGAAGGATCTGAACTTTTATCCTAGGGAAAGTAATTGTTTATGATCCAGGGAAATGCATCATGAAGAGTAGTTCAGACAAACTAATCTGGTAGTTTAACTAGGGTATACTAGAAAGGGATCATAGAGCAAATTTGAAATCGTGTAATTTCGTAGCATGTCTTTTAGCCTTAATTTAATATGTGAGATTACTTGCCAGTGTAAAGTAAAAATTACATTTTATGTTGAGGTTGATAGTATTTCTATCAACCCCAAAACTTCCATAAAGAAGATTTATAAGGTTAAAGTGGTAACTTGAAGATACTTAAAGACAAAACAGGAATGCTGAATTCTTCTTATAATAAGTAATATTAACAGAAGTACAGGAAGGAAATATGGCAGCAACATAGAAATCTGGATTTGAAATTGCCACTTTTCACTGTTCTAGTTATACAATTGAAGTCCCATAGGTAATGGAGAAAAAGAATGAGAGAGTGGTATGAAATATCAGAGACTGCACATGTCAATTGCTCAGAAGCACTCACTTCCTAACAGCAAGATAAAATAATAGTTCTGTGAGAGGTTATTATAAGAAGATTTATGTTTGCAATAAAATACAGTACTTCCACTTACCTTCATAATCCCACAGTTCATTGAAAGGCTCCCCTGGTTCTCCAAGTGGGGCTGGAGGATCATTGAAAAATGGAGCACTAACTTCCATCATCACTCCTCTGTCACTTGGATTGAGCCTGACAATCACTGGCTCATGCTTCACTGGAAAACCATCCCAAGTGTGTTCAATTTTAAAATCCATCTGAAGACTCTGAATAAAAACATATTAAAACAAACTCTTTAACAATATACAAATGTTTCCCTTAGTTAGAAATGAAATGAAAATTTCAATGTCAAATAGCAGACAGGAAGGAAATACGGTCCTGGGGGTCAAAAGGTCATCTCTATTGTGGCAAATTATAGACTGAGTTTTATTCTAAAATAGATAATTGCATCCCAGAAGGTTTAAGACTTTAAATCTAGATTCAGCTCTAGTGCTCTTGTAAAGAATGCATAAAAATCATTTTTAAAAATTGTAATTAAGTCCATGGCAGAAATTGTCAATACACTTAACTACAACCATAAGCACCATAAGTTTATATTGTCACACTTTATCTTTTATTTATCGTAAAGTGTACAGGTGTCTGAGTTATTATATCTTCTGGGAATCAAGATTTTTTTTACAAAAAAATGAAACTTGATAAAAAAATATCCATAAATCAGGACAAACAGTGATGTTAACATCTGTTCTTTTGGCTAAAAATCTTTTCTTTGAGGTGGGGTGGAGGGCGGTTTCCCAACCATTTGAAGGTTAATAGAGTTGAATTTTGTCTTTCTTTGTTCCAGTGTATACACTTTCAATTTTTGATATTTCAACTGTTAAATGACTACTTGCTTGGTTAATCACTTCTCCAACTGAAAAATGCAAACAGACTCTGCTATCATATAAACTTTGAAACAGACTAAGTACATATAAAAGAAGCAGTATTTTCATTTTAAATCATTTTTCTATGTATTCAATAGAAGGACATATATCAACAAAATTATATTTCATTGAATAGTATGGATTGGACATTTTATAAACATTATTTCATTTAATTTCATTACAAACTTGCAGAGGAACTATTATTAACCTCATTACAAATGAAACAGACTTGTCCACGGTCTAGAAATTGGACCAATTTCAACCATGTTTTCCCAGATGAAGACATCTGAGGAATCTCTACGAAGATGAAAACTTTATTTTAGGAATGGAATGGTGGACTCCCCAGATTACACTGGGTCCTATCTCTTATCTAGAAGATAATATTCATTTAGTACCTGATGATTCTTCCAGACTAACTGCTCTTATCTGAAATCTTGGAATGAATCCCTTCCTTCATATGTTATTTTTACTGCAAGCAAAAAAATTTTAAATTTTGAATAAATTTAATTCAGTGAACATATATTAAGAATCTACTATGTACCAAGCAGTGGGAAGTCCAAATATACAACCTCTGTGCCATATAAGAAATCCAAGATCTCTGAAAAGCTTTTTCTAAAGTCTATAGCTTTTGCTAATTTTCATTATATGCTAACAAGTTTTGTTAGATAACCTCTAAAATTAAATAGCTATGGCATTGCAACCCATGTGTAGAAAGCTAACAGCATTTCAGAAGAAATGTTCAACTCATGTTTTTCATTATTGAAATAAACTCAGTGTGTGATAAGACTGTATAAATTGATTCTGATTTATATGGAATGTAATCTTGATTTGTGTGGAATAAAATACCTCAATAATAAAGTTATTTTCTTAGTTGAAACATCAAGGCACATTCTACAAAAATAAATTTATAATCCTCTACCCCAAATTTTGGTAGTAATATGTATTCTCTTGCAGCATATAGGAAGAAATATTAATAAGAATAAATCAAGATGTTAGAAATGCTGATTAAATCTAATTCTGGCTGAGAGAATATGCTATCTCTTAACTTGGAGCTTGACAATCCTTAACAATCCTGGAAATATATAGCTTAGAAACTAGGAAATTCTGGTAGATTCACTTACTCTTCATACAACCACATTCACAAAAATGCTGCATAGATAAAAGAGATCCCTATCTTTATCAGTGGGTTTTCACTAGGGACTTTTCAACTTCCAGCTCATTCAGGCAATTACTTCTAAGTCTAAATGGAATAAAACCATATCTAGTGATATCCCCTAAAAGTGGCCTGTCACTTCAATGCACATGTGGTGGGTTTCATGGTCAGAGTGATGAGGTACACTTTATAGGCTTCATATTACTTCAGAAGTAATCTTATCTGGAAGATAAAAGATAAAAACAGAGCTACTCTTGTTGAGAATAAGGTTGAGGTACCCCATGCCTTTCTACTAGTTCCTTCTGCCTTTTCCACTAAGATTTCTTAGAGCATTGTTTGAAAATTACTACAATATACAGTGACTGGACTTCTATAAGTAGGGAGTAATGCTATGGCTGATAGGTCCAAGGATAAAGTATAATTTTGGTTTTAATTGCATAAAATGACTTTAGTTTCTTACTGAAATGACAAATTTATTTTTTTTAAACTTTATATTTCTTTAAAGAACATTCCTGTCAATCTAAGTATGCATAATAGTTATTAAAAATTGGCCTAAAAAGTATACTCCTGCCTACCTCAGACAGAGACAACTGATTCTTCCCTTAATTTCCTTGGTAACCTCCTAAGACTTAACACCCACCACTTTTCAATTTCTTTGTTTGCATATGTGCTCATTAAGTAGAGACAATTTAATTGTCAATGTCCTTCACCTCCTGGGCTAGTGCTGCCTTCTCTGTCGTTCTCTATTGCCCATACACTGCTCTATCTTGATTCATAGTACTTACACATGACATATTTATTTATCATCTCCCTGCAGCCAGCTAGCATGCCTATGATGCTATTTATTTGTTGAATGAATAACTGTTCTAGTCTCTGGATATAAAATTTTATGACTGTAAGATTTTGCGCAGGAGAAACCTACTGAGTTTGGTATCATTATCCCTTTTAACACTATATGTATATGGATACAATGGCTAATAATGAAGATGATGTGTCATATCCAGAAATTTCCTTTCAATTTAGTTTATCAAGTGTTTTATTAAGCACTCATCTTGTTTCAGGTGCCATACCAGTGCTTGGGAAATAATGTGTAAGAAGTCTATGGGGAGTTTGGGATGATTCTCAAGTAGCCAATCAGTGGGGTCACCACTTCCACAATTGGTTCATTTTGTAGTATAATTTAATACAATAAGATCTCTATACCAAACTAAGTTTTAGACAAATCAAAGCTTTAAAAAGAAAATTCAAATCACGTAAAAATAAGAAAGGCAAAAATTAGTCTTGTAAAAAAAATCTTATAGTAGAGAAAGCCTTATAAAATATAACCCAAATCCAAACATTTGACTACATAAAAATAACAAAATTAAAAGCAGAAACCTCCCTCCCCCACCTCCCACCCCTTCCTCCCCTCATCCCCCAAAGGCTACCATTAACAAAATCAAAAGACAGTCTGGGGAAAAGTATATACAACTCATATTTCAGGCAAATACTTAATTTCCTTACTGAATAAAAAGCTCCTAGAAATAAATAAGGAAGAGACTAACACCCCAACAGAAAAGTAGGCAAAAGAGATGAACAGCTAGTTCATAGAAAGAAAATACAAAATGTTCAACTTCACTTAGATGACAGAAAATGCAAAATGTTCAACTTCACTTAGATGACAGAAACGCAAACTAAAACTACAATAAACTATTTTTCACTTAGATTGGCAAACATTAGAAAGTTTGATAACATGCTGTGTTAATGAAAGCATGGAAAAAAAAGTCACACATAATTATTGCTGCATAATTGGTATTAACACAAATTTTGTGAAGACTAATACTTCAATATCTGTCCAAAATGCAAATATTCTTTGACCATAATTTTAGTCTTAGGAGTTACTATACCTACATATATTCATAATAACATAAGTATCGGGATGTTTATGGTAGCATTGTTTAAAATAAAATACTGGAAGGAACTGAAATATTCATCAGTAGAGGACAGCTAAACTATCACATAATGAAACAGTACATGGCTGTTAAAATGAATAATGAAACTCTTAATGACCACCGAAAATACACTATTGAAGTGAAAAAAAGGCACGAAAAAGTATGCATTTATTTAGTAAGAAGGAGGCTTATATGCATATTTGCTTGTGATATATATACTATCTCAGGAAGCATATACGCAGAAGAAACCAGTAGTAGCAATGGCTGCTTCTCTAGAGAGAATTACCTGCCTGAGATATGGGAGGAAAGAAGGCTTCCTTTCAACTTTGTCACTTTTTTTTAACCTATTTGAATTTTATATTATGACAGATACGAATTACTATTTAAAAATAAATGGATAATTTAAAAATATTTTTTAAAGTTCAACTTAAGGCTGAGTCTTACGGTGACTACCTCTTCTCCCCTTTATGTTATATATGCTGAACAGTTCCAAATATTACCAAGGTGATTATTGTCTCACTATATAATTTTCATGCTGGCTGTTTAGAGTTTCTTAAAAGGATATTATTAATCTGTATTTTTCACTTTTAACCTCTATTCTTCGAATTACTTTCATCAAAAAAAGTTAAAAAAAATTTTTTTTCAATTATTTTCATTGCTTTTCCTTTACTATGGAAACACCTGTAAAAGGAAATGAAAGAAGAGAAAGGAGACAGAACCATGGAGCATTAAGAGCCTAGAAGGAAAAAATAAATTCCATAAAGTTTAAAAAAAAAAGAAGTTACGTTAAAGGTATTTTTCTAACAAAACGATTTGCACGTAAAACTTCCAAATTCCTCTATTCACAATTTTTTTTTTTAGTTTTTCTACAATAATTTATTTCTTTTCAGTTTGCATTCCTCCTCCCCAGTCCGGGCCATTTATGAGGGAAACGGGGAAGTGAGGAAGTCGGCCAGAAAGTGGGAGTCAACTTTCAGCAGGAGGCAGCTGAAAGGGAAAATACTTTTCTGTACTTTCCAGAGAAAAAGCTAAGGACAAGATCGGGCGACGGTACAAGGGATGACAGAGTGAAGAGGGCATACCAAGGAGAGAGAGCACAGACCAGGAAGCTTTCCTCGGTCCCACACTTGGCTCCTTCCTTTCCGCACGGGTCACGGGAGACGGCTCAGCCTCAGGCCCCGCCCAGCTGCCTGCACGTGCTACTGGGCGGGGCTTGGAACACCGAAGCGGAGACCCTTGATCTTTCTAGAAAAGAGAAACTTTACAGTGCCACCCATGAACATCTGAAGACTCTAGATCATTCCACTGAAGTTTGAGAGGTTTTCCAGAAGAAGGACGGGTAACTCAGAAATATAAATACCGTGCAACAATTTGAAAATCGACTGTAAATCATTGCGATTGCAACAGAACATGTACAGCAATAATTCATTTATTGCAACTGAAGCCTGACATATAAGCAAAAACTATAAATTATATTAAACAAGCTATACATTATTGTACTACCGGCAGGCATATATTATGTAGTGGCTAACGATTATGACATTGGAACCGTACAGCCTGGGTTCAAATCTCAACTCAGGCGCTTTTCAACTGTGTGATCAATTTAGATCCTTGCTTAAACTTCCAACTTTGTACTCTTCATGATAGTTTGCACATAGTACTGGATGCTCAATGTTGATGCTCCAATTACTATTAGTGAAGTGTCACTCATTTTCAATCTATATTTCTAAAGGTTTCCTTTATTGCACAAAAGTAATATAAAAACATAAAATAGTGACTTTAGAATGGTTACACACACACTAAGTACTCTTCTTTTGCACTTCTCTGTTTTTGTACTCAATTTATGCTAATAGATACTTTCCATGCATATTCACTGAATTCTTTAATTCCTTTATCAGATATTTATTCAACCGTTTTTGAGTTCCAGGTATGATAGATCCTGGAAACAAACTACAAAGCAACATGATAAAGACTGCAGGAGGAAGCACGACATAAGTACTAAGGTGAGGGGAGTGGATAGAGAACTCAGGAGAAGATTTAAAGTTTCCCTTCACTAGAGGGGATACTGTAAGGGTAAGTGGAATCATAATTTTGTTCTCTCATGATGAAATTTATTTTGAAAATACTCCATTAAAATTCAACCAGTAAAGTCTTATAACCACAAACACACAAAAAAGCAAAACCAAAAAACTATGGTTTGTATTTACCTTGACTGTGATCATATAAGCCAAATGATTCGAGAACAGACATAAAAATTCCCATTTCAGATAATGAGTTAATTTAAATACCACACATTATTTATATCCAGAAGATACTCTTTGCTTTCATTCACACCAGTATATCTTATCAACTTTGAATATAAATGTGGAATTAAGTTTATAACTATTTTTTCATGCCAAGTAAAATCACAATATACAGGTTCAAATGTAGAAGTTACAAGCATGTCGTGGGAAGTCAATAGAAGTTTATAAAGAAAGAGTTGTACACTGAACTTCAAAAAAGAGTTGGAGCTTGCACAATCAGTTTTCCCTTCCAACAAGTTTTTTTGTTAACTCTCTACCGCCACTAAAAACCTGATCAAGTTCAATATTCACTTACTAAATGAAACATTTTTAATGGTTATTAGCTACACATTCATATTTAATAGCTGGTTTTTAGAGGAAGGGACCATCTCATTCTCTTAATATTAAATATGGAGTAAGGCCCATATTGGGCCTTCAGATACCTAACTGGATACATCTGGACATATTGTAAAAACTTCTTGAGACACGTTACCAAAGTTAGTTTATGTGACATTGTGAGTACAAGACTACAAAACGTAAGCTGTTAAACAGCCAAATTGAGCTGCATCTAAGACTTGTCTGTGTAGTGATACTACACTTAAATTCATAAAAATACAATCTATTAAATAAACTAAAACTAGTGGCTAGCTTCAAGTTAACATTTTTATTGCTAGGGTGAAATTTCCTCCAATGTTAAGTGTTTAAAAACAAACTCTAAGCTTTAAGCCCAGACAAAATCAATTTTAAAAATGGGAATTGTAATCTATCCACAAATCTAAATTTTACCTATTTTATATTGCAAAAAAATGCGACTTTTATCTTTTCTTCTATTTGAGGAAACAAACTTATCTCTGAAGAAATAGCTGCTGAATTTGCAAATCTTTTGAGTACTTCTAACTACATGTCTTATTACCACACAGCTAAATATTTAAACAACAGCTGTCTCCTTTCTCTAAAGACTCACGAGGGACAGGATCGTACTTAGCTTCTGGAGATTACCAAGTATACCCGAAAATCCTCCAGAGGTACAGCCTTGGTGGGGGACTCTGAAAATGCCTGTCTGGGTGCCGCCTCCAGCAATAGGAACCTGCATTCTTTACCGTGTACAGAAGTACTTAGTATATTAGTAACTCAAAGATACTGAAGGCATTTAAAATATGTATTTAATGCCCTACCTACATCTACATTTTGGGGGTTTTCTTAAAAAAAAAAAAAAAAAAAGACGCTGGGCCCCACGACCTGGAGACACCGGCCCACCAGTTTGCTCTCGGCGCCTAGCTGGTGGCTGAGCCCGCTTGTCATCCAGGCTCTCATGGCTCCTCCCATCGCTTGACAGCCAGCCAATAGCGTGGTAGGGCCCTAGGAAGCGCGATGACGAAAGGGCAAACGTACGCGTGATGACGCAGATGGCGTCACCGTCTCCAAGGAGCGGTCTGGGGCACCGGTTTCAAAGTCGCAGGGCGGGCCGAGTGGACTTTTGCTGCTGGCCTGGGGCTTCCGAGCAGTCCTGGAGTCGCCCCTCACCTCCGCCGCTCTGTTAAGGACGCCGCCACCGGGCTGTCCTCCAGCTCTCTCGGCGCTCTCCTAGGTGGCCCGGCAAGACCCCGAGTGACCCGCGGGACGCCTGTAACCTATGTCCGCTTCGCACCAGGGTAGGATTCGGTTGAAGGTGGAACCGCATTCACTTGGAGCATCCCCAGCAATCCGGGGGTCCGAAGCCTGTCGCCCTGGCGAGGGACTCGTCTGGGACTAAAGAGAAGCAAGCGCGGTGGGGCTGTTGACGCCGCGTGAGCAGGATGCTGATTACTCCGCTCGAGCGCTTGACAACCTAGGGAGTGTTGCCTTAGTCCCCAGCTCCCGCCCACGCTCAGCTGGAAGGTAAAGGTGGTGAAAGCTCCAAACTAAAATTGTATCGAAATGGCCACAGACAGCGACGCGCTGAGAGATCAAAGTAAGCTCCATATTGCTTTATTAAGGGTCTGTGTGTGGTGTTTAATGTCATCCTTGACCAGCTAATATTTTTTTGAATGCCTGTTGGGTACACTTAAATGTTTAAAAACTTAATAGAAGTTAGCTGCAGAAAAAGCTTGGTGGTAGATGTGAGGCTGTGTATATATACTTAAGCAGAACCGTTTGGTAAATACTTGTTAGGTTCCTTAAGCTTACACAGAACTCTACTAGACACTAAACATGCTTGTTTATGCTCCTCTGGTGCACTGAAGAAATTAGAGGGCTAATGGCCAGGAAGTTTCCAAGTGTGTAGTTAAAACCTAGAGGTACAGCTGTGGCTATTTGAAAGATGTTTATTGAGCTCCTCTTGTTTCTATTATGTATCATCAGGTACTGTAGAAGCATAGTTGCTGCAAAGATGAAGAGGACAGTTTTACCCTCCACGAATTTAATGTAGAGAGGGAAATATGTGAATTCCATAAATATACTGGAGTGACAGCAACTGCTAACTCTTTTTCCTCAGTTTCCACATGGGGTTGATGAAACAATTAAAGGCGAGCATTAAAATATGTGAAGGATTTAGAATGGTATCTGACACATTGTGCTAAACAAATATTTACTATTACAGATCATTAAACTATAGTCAAGGGCTGAAACTTGAAGAACCAATATGATTTTAACTGTCTAGGTGTCCCAAATAGAACAGTATTTTCAACGTAGAGGGAATTGGGAATATGCTTTGTTAAAGATTTGCAACAAGGCTGGGTTCAAATGGAAAATGGAAATTTATATACAGAAATGACAAGTGGATTTTAAGGGGTAGAATGGGCCTGGATGGCGAAGGGCCTTTTGTTCTGTGTGCTGAGTTTGGATCATTGCACAGATTATAGGAACCACTGAAAGTTGAGACTGATATGATCAAATTGTGATTTGTAAAGCCCAATCTGGTTGTTATGAAGAACATGCATTATAGCAGAGTATGTTTAGGTGACTACTTTCATCATCCAGGTAAGAAGTGAACCAAGGTGGGCACAAAGAAATTGGAGATCAGGGCATTTTAGAGAAAGAGATAGAGGGCAACCTAGGTTTTTGGCTTGAGCAACAGGGAAGGTAGGAAAAAGGTTCTAAGTTCCATTTCGGAAGCCTTATAGACCAGTGGTTAAGAACTCAGCCTCAGATTTACTCTGTCTGAGCTCATAGCCTAGCTGTACCTCTTTACAGATGTTTTACCTTGGGCAAATTGTTAAGCTTCTCTATGCCCCAGTTTTCTTATTTGTAAAAATGAGTATAAGAACAAAATAACCCTCATGGGGTTGTGAGGCTTAAGTGAAATGAGGAAAAGAAAGCACTCAGCATAGTGTCTGGCCCATATTAAGTGACAGTATATGTTATCTAAAATAATTGATGACACTAATATTAGCATTATTTCAGGTTGAGATGGGAATATCCCCACCCCATAAGGATAACTAACTGGCCACCATCTGTGGGACAGAAATTAGGTGGTAAAGAGTTTGGCTACTATTAGGAGGCTAGCAGAGGCAGTTAGAAACTAGGACTTTTAAAAGAATGAGCCAGCTAGAATTATTAGATAAAATTGAGGTCCAAATACTAGGGGGGACCAAAAAAAGGCAGTCAGAGTAACTTATTTCTTGAAAAATGAGTGGTAGTTCCATAGAAAATAGGTGGAGTGAAAGAAGGAAATCTCACACAGAAGGAGCAGAACAATGGTTCAAAGGCTTTGAAATAGCTGTGTTTATTCAGGAAATTGGGGCATGGAATGCTAGGGTTTGCATTGAAGAGATAAGAATGAGTGTTGGGTATTTGTGACCTTCTCCTTTTTTCTTTAACTGGACTTCCTTGCCAGTTAGAGGTGGTGGGTTACCCCATTAGGTGAGCTACCTGTACACCAGCTCAGGTAAAGATAGATGGCTTGCCCCCCTCCCACCTGCCTCTGACCA